ATCAACGTAAGAAATAAAGAAGAATTAGCATGAAATTCAGTGTCAAATCTCATCTATTACAAAAACAGGGAGATACGGCTTGAATTCCTGAAACTTTTTTTTTTTTTTCTTGATAGCAGCTGCTGTAAAATTGCTGTGCTTCTGGATGCTGAGGAAGATCTCCCCACCCCGACCTGCCCAGCAATATGTGCCTCCTTGACCCCTTCCTCCCCAGAATGAAATGAACCAGATTTTTCACCTTCTTTCTTTCTCTCTGATCTCAGCTGAGGCAGACACAGCCAGCTGCGGGGAGCTGGGGGAGAGGGAGGAATACGTGGCGGGAGCTGCTGTGCTGCTACAGCCACCTATTTCCATGCTGTCCAGAAAAGCTGGAGTTGCAAATCCCTCCCTAACACCCAGGAGCTCCTTGAATTCCCTTTGAGGAGTGCCCTTTTGCAAAACCGGGTCTAGAAGTCACAATGTAGCTCAGAAGGCGTTTGGGACCCTTTGGAGCGAAAGCTCATGTAGTCCTCATTATCATTGACAATACCCTTTCTGGTGATCTAAACCTGAGGGGCTTAGAGACTCAGAACTAATCTTTAAGCTCTTTCTTACTGCCTCGCTACCTGGATTTTATTGGGTACCTTCCCAGACATACTACATCATTTATGTGTTACACAAATCTATGTCGATAAAGCTTTATGCTATTCCACATCCACTTTTCTCCCTGCACATATATATATATCACCTGACAGAAAATGGTTAAAAAAAACCTTTTCTGAAATACAATTCACCTCCTCTAAGAGAACATGCTATATATATCCCTATATTTGGTAGACCTCAGCTATACTGTATTTTGTGAATTATTTCTTTATGATGAAAAATAAGATCGCCACCAGGTACATTAACTTTTGCTAATGTCTGCTAAACTCTTCATCCAACGTTATTCACACAGGACAGCGTAATCACAAATTAAGTCTGTCCTTTAGTTATATATCAGCGTAATAAAACTTTTCCAATAATTAACATTTCTATACGCTGAGTTTGCAAGTTTCAGCAATCAGTCATCCTCAGGAGAAAAAGCAGAGGTAATTGTCAGTACATGAACTGCCCAAATTGCTTCTTTCTTGAGTGTAACGAGTGAGATTTACTAATCACTCAATTTTATAATTTTTTTTTTCCCCCCTTTTTCTTGTGTCTTGATAATGACAGAGTTTTCTGTCACAAAATGCTTCAGGGTGGGACTGGGTTCGGCTGTTACTGGAAGAAGGCAACAATCTCTGCCTGGGCCTCGTATTCAGTTTATCCAACCAGCAGCAAAGAGGTTTTTCTCTAGTTTTTTTTCTATTGTTATGTTATTATTGTAGATTAATCTGACTGTCACATATATTTAGAGTCACCTAATGTTTTTAAGTATAAAACCCTCTTATTCTACATTAAAAAAATTATCACTCTGCGGAATTCAATTATTCAAGCTAAAAATTTTCATATTAGTGCTTTGCCTCAGGCTGACTTTTTTAAAGTCTTTAGCTATAACAGCCTTTTTAAGAGAAGATTAGTGCAAAGTAGACAACTCTATCAAATTTATAATGAATGTCCTACCCATTTTTCTGAAAGGGCCTTGAAGCACTAATGAGCGACTGCTGAAACATCCCCTTATTTCCTGTCAAAAAGTCCATCTTTTTAAGCAGAATCACAGGATTTTCAGATTCTTAGCACATACTTCATAGAGATGTGACAAGCTTTCTGCTCTGATCATAATCCTATCCCTCAATACTCCTTGAGTGCCAACATGCTCCTCAACCTAAAAGCAAAGTTTTCTGTAAGATCTGTGGGTCAGACAACAGTGGCAAAACTCCTTCAGTCACAAGCAGAAGTACTGGGCTGTGCTGTTCTGGCTGCCAGAACATGCCTTAACATTTTGTCCCAGCACTTACTGATGTACGTTAGTATTTCCTTAACACTTTTTAGCCCTTATTACTGAATAAACCCTATTTACCTAGGTTAAAAATCACATCAGACTGACTTCCACAGAATGACTTCCACACCGTTTTAAATACTGAGCAACAAGGAGCTGCAAAGTCAAATAGCAGGACACACTTTGGTGTGGCAAATAGACGTTTCGCCGTGTATTCACACTGCTTTTCAAAACGTGTGTGTTGACTCTATATATTTGGCTAAACATTAAGTTTCCCTCTTCCATCCGGAGACAATCTCAACAAGAGCAATGAAGGTTAGCTCCAATCCTTCGGTCTCGAAATATATATCAATGTCTTCATTAGCTGCGGTGTTTCAGGGACGAAGATCACAGGTTGAAGCCCTATAGATATTCACAGCAGGGTTTGGGTGGACCTTGGTTTTAATTTTCTTTTTTCAAGCAAGTATCTGCCATAATTTTACCAGTTATTATATAGGTGCTCTCCACTTAATTTCTCTCCACTCAATTCCCCATCTTTGTTTGCCACACAAAATATATACCACCATTACTAAGGCTTACTGTAAAAAGTAAACAGAGGGGAAACTTAAGCAGTGGCATCTCTTATTAGAATTGTGAATCCTAGCTTATGCAACTTAACACTTAAATTCATCTCAATCAAATTGATTAGGTGCATTATCCATATTTAAAAGAACTAGACTTTTCCCCAAGTTTTGCTTTCAGAAATAATTTTTATATATATATATATATTAAAACTGCCCATGCCATTGAATTATTAAATTTTTCACTTCACGGAGTGCAAATACATATTTTACCGTGGCAAAATATGAGATTACTGCATTAAAACTGAATACATTTGGAAACAACGCTGTGAGAAAACAGTAAGGGTGAGGCACTGCTGCTTTTTAGTCATATCCTACATGTACTCAAGCATATCAGCCTTTTGCACAATCCTTGCTGCTCGTATCCATCTCCATAAACCGTGAACTACAAACCCAAAAAATGCCCATGGAAAGAATGCCATGCGATGAGTGGCTTCCTTCAGTTCCCTCCGCATGCCCACAAGAACTCTTGATCTCAGCCGTGGATGTGGTGCCAGCGGTACGCCTGCCGCTCCCGAGCCAGGCAGGCAGGAATCCACTGGGGCTGACTTAGCATGCCTTTTGCATACTTGCTTAACATTTTAAGCTCCAATTAGCTGCAATTTATGTCCAGCATCACCCTATTAATTCACACTAATACCTGAGATGACCTTTCTGACCAGCTGCATCCTTCAAATTAGCAAGCAAGACCAAGCCAGAAAAGTGCAATGGTTCTGAACAACGATATGCAAACTTCACTGGTAACTCTTCTTTAAGTCTGAATAATTAAATTTGTGTTGGTCAGAAACCTGAAAACATCCCCATGTTTTCAAATCATGCAAAATTTCTCTGTGGTGTGAACCTCAGAGCGATTCCTTACTCTGTAAACTTTCTTGAGAACAGTGGAAGCTGTTGACTCTGCCTTAATGGATTCACGAGTTAATTAATTTGGGGTGTATTGTGAAAAGGCCTATTTGTAGCAGCACTTTAGTAATAGTGTGTGTGGTGTGAGGGTAAGTATTTGATATTTATGTTTAAATTTTTGTATTTCTGTTAAAATTTCATTTTAGTGGTTGTTTAAAATGTTTACATTTATGTTTAAATTGTAAAAAGGTTTAAAATTTCATGTTTATGTTCAAATTTTATTTATATTCAACAACTCCATCCACCTTCTCTGCTCAAAAGCAAAAATATCTAGAAATATTTGAATATTTCAATTGCAAGCTGATACTAAGCAATTACAATAGCACCTCAGTAAAATGTCTTCAAATGATAAGTAAATTCAAGACAGATACTAAATACATCTTCATATATTCATAGAGAAAAATCAGTTCTGCTTAACTGCAGATTATATCTAATGGCCAGTTTTAATGCCTTTTAGGAAAGTAACAGGCAGGAGAAACAAGAAAAGTTTCCCTGCAATTGTGTAAACTGCCTATTATTATTATCTGTTTTTTAAAAAACTTTAAAAAAATAGCATTTGAGTATAAAATGACCATGAAATCTAATCATTTCAAACACCTGTAGTGGCTCTCAGCTGAGCACATGCCTAACTAACTACATGCACAGCTTGCTAAATGCTTTAATTGATTTCCTAAATCAAGTTCAGGCAAACTCCTGTCTGTACATAGCTCAAACTACGACACTGACTGGTCTCATTATTTTGATGGAAATCTCCCAGAAAATTCTGTACTTCACTTTTTAGATATTACTTTTTAAAAAAAAAAAATCAAAGACCACATTTATAAAAAGTCATGGTGAGGAACACAAAAGCTGATGGAAAATATGTAATTTTTGATTGTTGTATCTGGGTCAAATAGGAACAAAGAATAGCAAAGATTAAGGATTAAAAATTGCCTAAGGCATATGAATGGTGATGTGAAAATAATCATGATTATAACAATTGTATGTTTATACAGCAAAAGTTTCATTCTTGTGCATTAGTACAATAAAGGCTTCGCTTTATCTCCGGCTTTGAAGAGGTGAGGGAAGATGAGTAAACTGTCAGTTTGAATTAATGCTTTGCCATAAATGTTTATAGCCCACAGAAAACAATTGTATGACTCTTTAGGATTGAGTTAGTTATAAATCACATTCTAAATGTATTAACATAATACTTTTACAGAACCTTTGGCTTTCAGTAAATTAATATTAAAATACTTGGGTTATAATGAATGCAACAGAAGAAACATTTCTAAACCCAGTGAGTGACTTATGAGACGTTTCCTTCCACTTGTTCCACTTACTGACTCTACCCTCAAGGCTCGCTCTTTGTAAGCCTTGGTATATGATGATGCTTTTGTTTCAAGTTTCAAAACGAAAACCATAAAGTATAAATTCTTACTAACAGAAAACCACGACCTAACATGCCTACATCAGTTAGAAGGACATGCATGCAGTGAAGGCATTGATAGGTTCAATGGGAGTTTCCACATCCCAGGGTGTTTAGTCTCATTTTCTTAACTAAAGAATACTTATAATAATAAATAAAAAAAAGACAGTCATTTGTAGGTTGCAAGTCCCAGATCTTGTTTATTTATAAAGCAATAAATATTAGAAGCACAAATAAATTGCACGGGTGTGTAAACAAACTGTACAATGACTGAAGAGTTCAGGAAGGGTTGCCAGAAGACTCCAAGAAGCATATTGTCGTCATCCTGAGTGGGAAGTAAATTGAGGGAAAAGTGCTTAGAAGCACTTGCGGTGGACAATGGATGGACCAGCTTCATCATACTCCTGTTTACTGATCCACATTTGCTGGAAGGTGGACAGAGATGCTAGAATGGAGCCACCAATCCAGACAGAGTACTTGCGCTCAGGTGGGGCAATGATCTAGGATAAAGACAGGCAACAAAGTCCTCATTTAACAGTTACATTTCTGAACAACCACCACACATCACCAATGTAACAAACCACTAGCTATTTCCTTAAGTAAATGAACAACTTTTCTATAATCACAGTATTGATCTTCAGCAGCTGGTTCAATACATGTAATATTCCCTAAGAAAATCTCTAACCATACTTTTCTAACACTCCCTTCAAATCAATATAATTATGCTGATTAAATGGAATTTCTTCTCACTTATCCATCAGCTGTTGATCTCACTGTTGAGTTGTTCCTATACCCCAACTTAATGATGTGGACATTTTCCCCATCCTTACCCACACTTTATAGTACAGAGCCAAATTAATCACCTTGATCTTCATAGTGCTAGGAGCAAGTGCAGTGATTTCCTTCTGCATGCGATCAGCAATGCCAGGGTACATTGTCGTTCCACCCGAGAGGACGTTGTTAGCATACAGGTCCTTACGAATATCAATATCACACTTCATGATACTGTTGTAGGTAGTTTCGTGAATGCCAGCAGACTCCATACCTTGAGAAGAAAGAAGATGGTAGTAGATCAGTAAATTATGTAAGAGGTCTTCATGAAGAGAATTCATGGCCTTTTTCCTCATCATTAATATGAACTGTTATGATATTGTTATTGTAAAATTACTTACTGATTATTAAATTTTATAGAAAAATGTATAAAAAAGAATTACAGAACTAGCTAAGAAAACAAAAATTATTTGTTAAAAAGGATATGAATCATAATGCATGTGCAAAGGAAAGATACTCAAAATATGCAGTGAGACAAGAGGTGGCCACACGAGATAAATTCATTTAGTATACAGCAATGGGAGAAAGTTATACAGAATAGGAAACATGAATATCAAGTTATGTCAGAGTCTCACAAAAAGCGTTAGTTGAATATAGAAAAGGCAGCAATAAAGACAACAAAAGCAGCTGAAGTAGAACTAAAGAAGAAAACAGTAACTTCCTTTCTTTTTCAGCCTACTCAAATATAGTCTATACCATTTATAAACATCAAGGCAGGACATAACCAAGATACGAACCAAGATATCAGTACTTGGTGGTGAGCAAAAAGAAACAAGAAGCAAGTGTTTGTAGGTTGCATTCCAAATTATTAATTTTGACAGGTGCTTCCTGAAAGGGCTGACACCGGATCCACAGTGAGATGTCAGCTGATGAACAACTGCACTTACTGCCCAGGAGAGCATAAGCATTTGCTATATGCATCAGCTGCACTCACAAACAGCAAAGCTCACCATCTCGACCATGCCAATGTTTAATTACAGTGCATATAAATATACACGAACCTTCATTTCATTTTTTTTCCCCTCCCAGGCACTTTAGCTCTTGCAGTAGGGTACTGGTTTAGGCGTAAGCTTTACAAATACGGCACTGGAAGCTATTTTTTCTGTCACGACATGATGATATTCTAACTACATTTTATCACCAAAATTAAAAAAAAAAGTGACCCCCTAAAATCTGGTCTAAAACTTTCAAGAAGACCCCAGATCTCAGCTAATTACCAGCTGAGCTCACATCAAGCAGAGTTTACAGGGACCAGATCATCTAATTCATTATTTCTGTTTGATTTCATGCCAAATTTAGACAAGCAGGAAGGGGAATGGGACACCTACATCTTCTGTTTCATTCATACCTCCTACTGAAAGGAGAATTTCCTGGGAACACTTACCAATAAAGGATGGTTGGAATAAGGTTTCAGGGCAGCGGAAACGTTCGTTACCGATTGTGATCACTTGACCATCGGGCAGTTCATAGCTCTTTTCCAGAGAGGAGGAAGAGGCAGCAGTGGCCATTTCATTCTCAAAGTCCAGTGCAACATAGCACAATTTCTCTTTGATATCACGAACAATCTCACGTTCAGCTGCAGATATAGGGGAATCAAATCAAGGTTTGGATAACCAAAATATTGGAGGAAGAAGGCGGGCCAAGAGAGACACGAGGATTTTCACAGGAGGGCAAAGGTGTAGGACTGACCTGTTGTCACAAAGGAATAGCCACGCTCCGTGAGGATCTTCATGAGGTAGTCAGTCAGATCCCTGCCAGCCAGATCCAGACGCATGATAGCATGAGGCAAAGCATAACCTTCATAAATAGGTACATTGTGGGTGACGCCATCGCCAGAGTCAAGAACAATACCTGAGAAAGAAATGTCAGAGAGCGGTTGGAATCACCTAGCAAATGCTTGGAGCCCTTGAGCACAGTAAGCAGCAACAAACACAACAAAATATAGGATTTTTCAGGTAGTATAAAGTAGCATTATTCTATTTTAGCCATGAAGATCTTGCCCGTGCCATCTCTGCCTCCCTGGACAATCCTCTTTGGCGTGAACTTTCTTATAAAATGTGTTGTCCCGTACATATTTTAAGTTAATCCATATGAACAGCCTTCCACTGCTACTACACTGAGCAATAAGTATATTTGCAATAGTGATTGTCCTGATCCAATAATGGCCATCTTTTGGGCCCAGTTTAAGCCCTTAAACTGGTGAAATAATTGTGTAACTGCAGTGTCTTCACGGAAATATCTCCTCGTTTGCGTCATGACAAGCGGCAGGAGAGTCAGTTCCGCAGGGCCCCTCTGAAAGCAATGCGGACTGGTCCACAGTGCTCTTTCCACAGACTGTTTTGTACTGGCTTTTCTGCTACTGTTATCATCAATCGTATAAACGAAAAATACCTAGTTTTCTATAGATTTCAATCAGCTATGGGGCTTTTTTCCTCTTTGGAGTGAGAAGGAAGGAGGGTTCCTGATAAATAGTGTTTCTTTTTTCACATTACCTGTTGTACGACCAGAGGCGTACAGGGACAGGACAGCCTGGATCGCCACATACATAGCAGGTACGTTGAAGGTCTCAAACATTATCTGGGTCATCTTTTCACGATTAGCTTTAGGGTTCAAGGGGGCTTCCGTGAGCAAGGTAGGGTGTTCCTCAGGGGCCACACGGAGCTCATTGTAGAAAGTGTGGTGCCAGATCTTTTCCATATCATCCCAGTTGGTGATGATGCCATGTTCAATGGGATATTTCAAAGTAAGGATACCTCTTTTGCTCTGAGCTTCATCACCCACATAGGAATCTTTTTGACCCATACCAACCATAACACCCTAAGAGAACAAAATACAGAAAAGCATTATTTGAGGAAGACATCACAGAGCCCAAACAATTACACCACAGACAATTATGCTATTTTCAAGAAAAGTCACGCCACTAACAGGTTCTTTAGGAAAATAAATTAGCATTCTTGAAATATTAAGTCAACAGAACTTGAAGTTTTCTCATAAAATCCTTTTTCCTTTAGTCAGATGAAAGGAATCCCACCCCCCCCCTTTTTTTAATGCACCTTTTATTTTCAATTAGTTCTTTCTGGTCCAGTCTTATTGAAAGTAAACTGCACAATATCATGAGCGGGAAAAGATACAGAGAGACATATAAACAGAGTTTATAAACAAGAAGATATGAGAGAAATAAACCTTCTAGTGAAGGAAGATACTGACTAATGCTATGGAGCCTCATCAGTAATGTGTTCACAATAAAAATATACAAATTCCAAACGTTTTAGTTTGAAAAAAAATAGCCTTACAAACTTTTTACTAAGGAATCGTAGGAGAAAAAGTATTTTCTGTGTGCTGATTTAACTGACAAAAGAGAAGGAGAATGACATGGGAATGGAGAAAAGGAGGCTTAGAGAGCGGTAAGAAGGTGTCCTGGTTTGAGGTAAAACAGAACCAATTTTGGTCAGTAACTTCGCTTCTTAGCTGGGCCTCTCTAACAACTGAAATTAACAGCAGATTCAATTAAGATCAGAGACGGTCAAAAGAAGTAGAGGAAACTGAAAGGTGTTTTATATGCGAATCATTGGACAAGATGGGTGGGAAGGGCCTTAAACAAACTGTATGTATGCAAATTCAGCCAATGGAGCTGTCTTTGAACTAGCACCAGCAGCAGGTCTGGCCTGGGGGGTGGAGTGGGCAACAGCTTGGTAGGAAGCGGGGTTTGGGCTCATTAAGGGAGAGAACAGGGAAGGAGTCAAGACAAAAGCTGGTGAATTAGAAATAGCTGAAGGAAAGGGAGACAGTGACAGCACGGAGATAAGGGACAGCCAAAGAGGGGAGCTGCGGGAAGCACTGGAGGGAACTGGGAAGGTGTGTCTTGTACCACCACAAGAAGGGAGCAGGGGGAAGGGCAGGGTATTGGGGACAGGACAGAAGAACTAAGGAGGCAAGGGGCGACCAGAGGTGCATTTTGGAGAGAGGGGGGAAAGCTCGGTCCTGCCCCCCGTATTTACCTGGTGTCTCGGGCGGCCGACGATGGACGGGAAAACGGCCCTGGGGGCATCGTCTCCGGCAAAGCCCGCCTTGACCAGCCACGCGCCGCTGTCGCACACCAGTGAGGTGG